TCAATTGAGAATGCATCCTCTTAGATGTTCTCGAAAAAACGAAGATGAAACTCATTAGTAGAGACAAAATTACAGGAAAAAAGGTAGCATCTCTTACGATACGACAAATGAAAATGATCCATTAGTAGGATAAAAATGCATGTCCATCAGTAGGATGAATGAAAATGATCAATCGGTAGGATATGAATGTATGTCCATCGGTTGGACGAATGAGGATGATCCATCAGAAGGATTTTAATGTATGTCCATCGGTAGGACGAATGAGGATGATCTATCGGTAGGATATGAATTTATGTCCATCGGTAGAACGAATGAAAAAGATCCATTGGTAGGATTTTGAATGTACGTCCATCGATAGGATGAATGAAAAAAAATGATCCATCGGGAGGGTGAATAAAAAAAAAATGATCTATCGCTAGGACGAATAAAAAAAATGATCCATCGGTAAGATCCAAATGTATGTCCATCGGTAAGACGAATGAAAATGATGATGATCCATCAGTAGGATTTGGAATGTATGTCCATCGGTAGGACGAGTAAAAAAATATGATCCATCAGTAGGATTTTGAATGTATGTCCATCGGTAGGATGAATGAAAAAAGATAATCCATCGGTAGGATTTTAAATGTATGTCCATCGGTAGGACGAATGAAAAAAGATAATCCATCGATAGGATTTTGAATGTATGTCCATCTGTAGGACGAATGAAAATGATGATCCATCGGTAGGATTTTGAATGTATGTCATCTGTAGGACGAATGAAAACATGATCCATCGGTAGGATTTAGAATGTATGTCCAACGGTAGGACGAATAAAAAAAATGATCCATCGGTAAGATCCAAATGTATGTCCATCGGTAAGACGAATGAAAATGATGATCCATCGATAGGATTTGAATGTATGTCCCTCGGTAGGACGAATGAAAATGATGATGATCCATCAGTAGGATTTTGAATGTATGTCCATCTGTAGGACGAATGAAAACATGATCCATCGGTAGGATTTTAAATGTATGTCCATCGGTAGGACGAATGAAAAAACATGATCCATCGGTAGGATTTAGAATGTATGTCCAACGGTAGGACGAATAAAAGTTCTTTCAACGCAAGTCTCCTCCGACTTGAAGGCAAATAGATAAGGTGCACATCTTTCACCTCCGAATAGATGCGACTTAAATGCAAATATCTTTCAACGCAAGTTTCCACGGACTTGAACTTTAAATAGATAAGGTGCACATCCTTCACCTCCGAATAAATGCGACTTAAATGCAAATATCTTTAAACGCAAGTTTCCATCGACTTGAACGTTGAATAGATAGGGTGCACATCCTTCACCTCCAAATATGCAATGGCCCTCTCGACAAATGAAAAATTCAATGGCCTTCTTGGCAAATGAAAAATGCAATGGCCCTCTTGGCGAATGAAAATGCAATGGCCCTCTCGACAAATGAAAAATTCAATGGCCTTCTTGGCAAATGAAAAATGCAATGGCCCTCTTGGCGAATGAAAATGCAATGGCCCTCTCGACAAATGAAAAATTCAATGGCCTTCTTGGCAAATGAAAAATGCAATGGCCCTCTTGGCGAATGAAAATGCAATGGCCCTCTCGACAAATGAAAAATTCAATGGCCTTCTTGGCAAATGAAAAATGCAATGGCCCTCTCGGCAAATGTAAAATGCAATGGCCTTCTCGGCAAATGAAAAATGCATTGACTCAATGATTGTCCACTGTAACGAGTGGATGGCTCGATGATTACGATGTGGATGACTCAATGATGTCCAACTATAACGAGATGGATGACTCGATGATTGTCCACTGTAACGAGGTGAATGGCTCGATGATTGTCCACTGTAACGAGGTGGATGGCTCGATGATTATCCAACTGTAACGAGGTGGATGGCTTGATGATTATCTTGAAAGTGTCATCGCATTAATGTTTTCACATGTTCATGTACTTGAAAACGAATAATTAGTAGACACAATGTCGCCTTAGCTAGCGACTTAGTCAAGAAACCTTGAGAAAATGTTCTTTAAAAGAGCATGTGTACAAAATGCCTGATCAGTTTGACACATGTGAGCAATCAACATTTTACTCTTGACCATTTTGTGTTTATTGTGACTCATGTCTTATTGGGGATTTGTACTAGGAACTGATGGCTCACCATGACAATGCTAGAGATTTTCAAGTTAACTTTGAACTTCAATCGATGATGGATCATTTGAAGTTGACTATCAAGCTTCTGACAGTACTTGTTGGAATTTTTGAGGTCTTCCTCAAAAATTCTGTCCCAGTTAGAACTTTCTAGCAAATCTCAAAATGATCTCCAATCTTTTTGCTGGAGATAGCACATTTATTGTGAATTTTTGAGATATTCTCAAAAATTCTGTCCCAGTTTTTATTACAAGGTGAAAAGAAAATCACACTGGGTATATGACCGAGCCATCGTGGCGCCTACATATCCTATTGAGCCAGGAATCAGGTCAAATGTAGTTCCAACCCTGTAAATGATGAATACTACAAAGAATCTGAGACAAAATTATCAGTAGAAAATGTACAATGTGACCATGAAAAAATAGGAAAATAATATTCCTTGCGATATTCAAAGTCTAAAGACAAGATATATCACATTTTTGGGACGGACAATCCAATGAGGTAAAATAGGCGTCTCACACTGATAGGATTAACCTAATAACACTTTTTACAATGAACAACCCAAAAAGGAAAGGCAAAATCTCTCCTTTTTTTTCTTTTTTTTTTTAATGGAAAGAAAAAAATGTTTCGGAAAATATTAAAGAGTGGGTGCTTGCCCCCCCTTTTTTTTTTTTGAAATATAAATAATATAAAGAGACAGTCAAATCTTGACAACAATTGGTACCAGGAGTTAGGATCGCATGTAAATCTTTTTTTTTTTTAACTAAGATTGAATTCAAGGTAACTTCCACAATTTCAAGTGGTACCTCAAACATACTTAAGTATCAACAAGATTTATTTATCTTTCTTCAAACAAAGATTTTGAATTGTATCAATCCTCATGTTTCAAGTGCTCTCACAAAAAGAAAAGTCTTATTTCACACATATTTGAAGCGTTTTATTTTAGGATATTTTTTGAAGTCCACTCACACTCACAAGAATGTTCAATGTATGCAACTGTGATACCATATGCTTGACCCTTATGTAAATCTCCACTAATGTGAAGACATTTGGAATAAGATAATGTAGGGCTTGTCATTGGCTTGTAATGTAGGCTTAGGGACGGGTAAAATATATATTTGGGATAAGAGTGACTTAATTCCTTCTTGAGTGTCACAGTGAATTTATGCTTTTGATGATTGATACACCTTTGGCATTTGATCCTCTTCATTGTCCTCCCTTTTTTCGACCTCTTTTGAATTATCATTTATTGGAGTTGTTTTTTTTTCACCCCTTTGTCTCGACTTCTTTTGAGTCTTCATTTCTAGGAGCTTTTCTTTTATTTCATTCCTTTCTTTTGAATTTCTCTCCTCTTTGTTGGAGTATTTTCCTTCTCTTCTTTCACTGACCTTGTATGAGTATTTTTGTCTTTCTTTATTTCTTTCCATCTTTTCTCTTTTTTTTTTCTTTTTCTAGAAGTCGTTGTCTGCTTCCTCGACTTTGGGATACTTTGTATCTCTTGTCTTTGGCAACTTCAAATATGGATCTTCTTTTATAATTTGCACACTTTTGGTGCACTCAAGAAGGTTGGGACAAGAGAGGGATAATGCATGTAAGCACTAAAAAAGAGTAGTGTCTAAGATGTAGTTGTCCAAAGAAAAAGTTTCAGGCTCAAAGTGGGAAAACTAGGAATTAATGTCATTTGGTAGGTTTTGAAAGGCACAATCGGGTCAAAGAATGCCTACAATAATTTCCCAAATCAAACATTACTCACAATTTCGCCTCAAAAAATATTCAGGCCAAGTTCTAGATCAACAGTGCAATGCAATTGAATTTCGATCTAAAAGCTCACCACACAATGCACATGAAAGCATGAGGTTGGTTTTATTCTTATCTTGAATGCATACAAGAGAATTTTCAAGCATCACAAAAGTACAAATGAGAGATACCAAAAGAGTCTATAGTTTACCACAAAGTTAGTCCCTTCTTTCATCATATCGAATATTTTTACATGCTCCTAACTGCATTGGTCTCATTTGAGCTGAAGACATGACTCTTCCAATATGTACAAAATGATTATTTTTTTTAAAGAATGAATAAATACCGAATCCAAGAAGGGTTGCCTACGTATCTCATCAAAATGAGAATCACGTGTGCGTAGTTCATGCAAATATAGTAAGAAAGTCCCTTACTTCGGCTAGTAAGGATTTTCATTTTAGGCAAGCAGGCTGCAGCGCGAGTACCCCTTTTTTTTACTTTTGCTGCAATAGAGGAGATTGTCTTTGAAAATATGCATAAACTATTTGGTTTTTTTTTTTTTTTTTTTTTTGAATTTAAAAGAATGAATACCGAACCTAAGAGGCGTTGCCTACGTATCTCATCAAGATGAGAATCAGGTGTGAGTAGTTCATGCAGATATGCCTTTAAAAATATGCACAAAGAATTTTTTTTTCTTTTTTGTTACTTTTGGAAAAAATAATACCGAAACCAATATGGGTTGCCTATGTATCTCACCGAGATGAGAATCTGATTCGTGTGTAGTTCATCCAAATATGTCTTTGAAAATATGCACAAACTATTTGAATTTGAATTTTATTTTTATTTTTTGAATTTAAAAGAATGAGTACCGAACCTAATGAGGGCTGCCTACGTATCTCACCGAGATGAGAATCAGGTGTACGTAGTTCATTGAGATATGTCTCTGAAAATATGCACGAACTATTACTTTTTATTTTTAAAATTTAAAAAAATGGATACCGAGCCTAAGAAGGGTTTCCTACATATTTCATCGAGATGATAATTAGGTTCGCATAATTTGTTCAGATATGACATAAAAATAATTTAAAGATTCAGACAAACTCAGAGCAATTCCCCTTAGGTCTAGTGTCACTGAAATCAATAGTCAGGAAGTGTTTTTTGACTTTTTGTACCAATATGTTTTGCATCCTCTTAATTGTCAATCTTTGCATTGTCTGTTGAATGTGGCTTCCAAATTTCTACGGTAACCACTTGTTGTATTCTTTTTTGGATGTCTCTTCAAACTGTGTATACTCCTAATGATTCCCAAAAACTATACATTATTATCACCATCCCCGACTATAGTCGGGGATGATTTTCCTGCAAAAATATTAGAAATGTGTGAAAGCAGGACCAACATGCAAAATACATAACAAAAAATAGACGAGTGCGACCTCGTAGTCAAAGACTCCCCTTATTTGTCTTTTCGATGGGTTATTATTGTCTTGTGAAATCCAAAGACTCATTTTTTGCGAGTTCTCTTGTCCCTTGTCGCTCCGAACGAGCAATAACCTTCGAGCTTTCAAAAACAACTCAAAAGGTAAAAGTGACTTGATAGTGACTAGATATTTATGTCTATGAAGCTCTTAAAGAAATTTTAAAATAATGGACTATCATACAACATATTCACGTAAAATAGGTATATCACATAATGTACAAACAATTAATGCATGTCTTATACAAATATGTCTTGAGTGTTGACTCATCTCAAGCAAATGCGCTAAATTTAAGGTTTTGGCTTCGCTCTACACTAGCTGACTAAGAATGGTTTAGACAAGACATGGTTACCCGAGTCGAACAAACTACAGGTTAAAGTATAATAAACGACGTTGGATGACCACAAGTCAACTATTCGTTTATCACTTTAAAAAAATTCAAATGTGTTTTTCTGAAGGACAGTCGTGAAAAGTCACGTAACTGTCTTTGTCCTAATGCATTCTATTTGCCATTTGGCGAAAATTATGCCATGAAATACAATCATAATATATATACAATTAAATGAATAATGAATAAACAACAAATACAATACACAAATAATCAACAAAATATACAAAATATAATGTGTAAACACAATAAAAGAAAATGCTCCTCAATTTGAAAAAGCAAACACATAATTGTTAGAACCTCTATATCCCCAGCGGAGTCGCCATTCTGTTTACTTTCTTACTCTATTCAAATAGGGCGAAACATCGCGATGACTCAAAAAAATAACAATTGATTCAATTTTAAAAGAATTTTAAGAAAATAAGAAATTTAAAGGAGTCGCCACCTAATTTTAGGAAAACTAGAAAACCAATTAATTAATCTACGAAACCAAGACATTCTAGGTAAGGCGTTCAAGTTATTTCGAAGGAAAGGGATTAGACATCCTTCGAAATCCACAAATATGGGTCCCAACTAAATTCATTTGTTTTTTCAAATTGAGGATGAGAATAAAATAATGTACAAATATAATAAACATGCAATATACACAAGTAATATGATAAAACAATAATATATGAATCGGCCTAAATATAAATAGGAGTATAATTCGAATCTAATTCGAATAACTTCAATAGGAAGCACTTCCAGTTACCTGTGAAGACACTTAGTAAACGTATTAGTTATAAATAAATATGAATAAAAATAAATGAATCAAATATTAATTTAAAAATAAACATCCGTCTTATTAACATGAGAGGCCTTAGAAATTGACAGTAATTTCTTCATCGGCTAATTTTAACATACAAAATATATACAAACTTAAACTAAATTTCCGTCTTTTTGCAATGTTGATGCCTCCAAAATTAACGGGGAGATTTTTTCATTGGCCATTTTGAACAAACAAAATATATGAACATAAAATAAATTTCCGTCTATTACAATGTAAAGACCTCCAAAATCGACGGAGAGATTTTCTCATTGGCCATTTTAAACAAACAAAATATATGAAATTAAATTAAATTTCCGTCTTTTACAATGCAAAGACCTCCAAAATCGACGGAGAGATTTTCTCATTGACCAATTTTAACATATTTTATTAAATCAATTTAACAAAAATAATTAATTTAGCAAATGATCCAAAATATGACTAAACTTTAACAATGATTTGCCAATGTTTTCCACTAAGCACGTGAACACTCATCATAACACCAATTAATCACAACCACAAAAATAATGACATCAAATTTAAAGCTCAATAATAATAATAATAATATATTTAAATAATAAAAGGTGAAACAATCTTGATAACAACAAAACAAATGGACATCAACAACTAAAATGATTAAATCAACAACATTTATTATCCATTACAAGGAATAAATAATGAAAATTAATTAACTAATAACAACTAAACATAACAGTGAATTAACTAATAAATGTAACAAACCGGCAAAACCATAAAAATTAAAAAGACTTGGACAAAAAAATAAAATAACAGTAGTTAAGCAAAATTAAGGGCAGCTAATGATTTGACAAGAAATTGCGTGAACAAGAATTTGGACAAAAGATACGAAATCAAAAATCAACCAAAATATGTGTATTTCAACGTAACAGTGAGAATAGCAACAAGCAGTAACAACAAATATTAATTAAAATCAAACCAATATTAGTAAACAAAGCAGTGGGTCACCGAAAAACTACTATATTCATCGGATAAAGTAAGAAATAAGAATAGTGGCCGGAGTTTGAACCCCTCCGGCCAGATCTGTAAAGAAAGACGAAGTGAAAGAGAGATCGTTTATTTACCGGAGTTGGAGCCACGCCGGTGGTTGTTAATAGTTGTTGTTGTCGACTGGATTCTGGTTGGGTTGGAGAAGAAGAGGCGAGTCTGGTTGGTTGCTCACGAGCTCATAGTTTCGCCGGAGCTTTGCATCGAAATACCTGAAAATGAAAGAAAACCGTGAAAGGGAAAGTCGTTGTTGGTTCAAAGGTCTTGTTCGAGGAAGAACAGTGGTGGGTCTGTTGGTAATGGGTTTCGCCAGGAAAAGGAAAAGTAAAAGGGTTTCTAGCTGCTGTTCTGGTCGGATGAAAGTTGGAAAAGAGGTGGTTCTCATTGTTCCAGCTGCTGTTTGGGAGCTTGTTTCAGGCGGCTGGAGGTCTTTTGGGTTGTTTGTGTCGATTTTTGGATGTGTGTTGGCCATCTAGAAGCTCTGGTGGTTTTGAGTGTTGTGCGAGCTCAGAGCTCGCTATTCCCTAGAGCTAAAGCTCACCGGAAACAATGGAGAAAGGTTTGCCGGAAAAACAGTGTGGTTTTGAACTGTTTCTAAACTACTGGTTGGTGGATCTTTTGAAACAATGAAAAGAAAAATAAAATGGAGTTGGGGTTTTGTGGTTGTCGGAGCTTTGCCGGATTCCGGGATGGTGGTGGTCGGAAAACCCCCTTTTGTGAATAAAAATCTAAAAGTTTATAACCCTATTCTAAAAAATAAATTCACCATCCCTTTGCTTTTGATCTAAAATTTACTTAAATAGGGAGTTATAATACAATAAGCTCAATTCATGAGCTCGGGATTGTGGCCCAAATTCATCGACTAATTTGTATCTGTAAATTTTATCCGTATTTTAAATAAATTTTTATACTCTGCAAAAATATAAAAATGAATATTAGCAACTGTAACAAATAAATGAATATAAAAAAATAAAATAAAAAATAAATAAATATATATATATATATATATATATAAAATGAACGCAATTAATGATATGTAAAAATGCAATTTTAAAATTAACTCATAAAAAATCATAAATTTTGATAAATAAGGATAGTTATCGATAAACTTATTTAAAACTATAAAAAAAATTATTCTGAACTATTAAATAAATAAAATTTAAAACCTACGAATTTTGAAAATGTTAGGCCAAAATTGGGTGTCAACAGTAGCACCCGATCCAATAGGTATGTCACGTGACATCCGATCCAATACAAGTTACTGTATCTATACGTGACACCCGATCCAATGCAAGTTAGCGTGTCGGTACGTGACACCCGATCCAATCATCGCAATCATAAGCACAATCACATCCATAATATACAATACTCACATCATATGGTCAAGTATTCAAGGTCAGAGGTGTATCCATGATTTCGGCTAGATGGATGCACGATTACGAAGAAATGTATCTTAAATATAAATTTGATCATTTGACTTTTAGGTTATAAATATGAACCATTAAACTTTAAAAATTATAGATTCAAAATATATAATACTATTAGTTTTAAATTTTAATATACACAATTGATTTAATTATATAAAAAATTTACAGTGCTTAATTTTTTAGGAATTTTCAATGTAAGACACTTGAAAATTTTGAAGGATTACAGGCAAAAATACAAAAGAAAAATTAGTTGAAACGTCAAAAGTATCACCGATAACCACTTGGAGTGGTGTTACTAAAAAGACAAGATAGATATAAGATTTAAATTTCTATCCTCAGTTAGAGAGGTGCACCTAATCATCATCGTATTATTATATGATACTTTGAACATGAGTTCACACATCTATATTTAAATATTTTAAAAAAATATAATATATGATCTAGAGAGGGGAGCATGGGTTCACATGAACCCACGGCACCCCCTCTAGATACGCCTCTGCTCAAGTTCATGGCATGCATTGTTATAATCAATTCATTAGGTTTGTTTCCACTTTTATCGGATTACATACGCACATGCATACCATATGCCACACATTATACAATTAGGAATCACGACCATCACCTAAACCCTATTTCATGAGCTAGGGATTTCCTTTACAGTCTACGTCTAATGAAATACCTAGGAATATATGTACAACTGACTCTCTTCGATGCACGAAAGCTTACACATCATTTCTACCGTCAATGACAATATACTACGCAATGAATGTCAGATTTATAACTACTCAATTAATAAACCTAGCGTATCTAGCCGTCAAGCATTCGCAGAGGGATTGTAGAAAAAATTCTGGTTTCTAGACGATGGGATGGTGGATTTTGATCGGAAATCTGCAAGCTATCGTCATCCCCACGCTAGAATTCTCTTTCTCCTCCTTTCCCAAGCCTAGAGCAGCCTTGGGAGGGTTTCTGGGGTGTTGCTCGCCTCTTTTAGGTGTTTTTGGAAGAAGGAGAAAATAAGTCTTGCCTATCCCGCTCTGGCGGTGTCACACCCCTATTTTCGCACGCGGGATAGGGTTTTTTCAATTTAAGTGACGATATTAATTAGGGATTATTTTATTTTTCAGAGTTGTCACTTGGAATTGAGTTATGGTGTTCCAAGTCACATTTTTAAAACCCCAACCAAAAGGAAATGACTCTTTATTAGGTATGCGTACTAGAAATTTGGGTAAGGAATTTTGTTGACCGAGGGGAAGGTATTAGGCATCCCTCAAATCCCGTGGTTTTAGCACGGTCGCTTTTATTAACTTATACTTGACTTATATTACTATTATTGTTTGGATAAATTGTGTTGTAGGCCATGATTTGTCCGCATTTTTATGTTGAACTTTTATTTGGTCTCAAATCGGATGCATAACTGCATTCTCAACTTTTGACATATAAGTAGCTTAAGAGTATAATTGTTTTTTTCTCTCAAGTGCATCACCTAATTTTCTCTGTCCATAATTTTTAGTTTAAATTTAATGAAAGTTAATTATTAAAAATTATTTTGTCAAGGTGCGTCACTGCATCCTTGAATTTCTTTTAATGTCTCAAAAAAAGATGTGTTACCACATTCTTAATTGAGACAAATATTTTTAAAAGGTGTATAAAGTTTGTTTAACGTTAAAAATAATTATTTTCCTTTATAAATCCACATCAACTTATTCAAAGAAAATCATTATTATTAATTCCGACTAAATTTGTTCAAGGTCCAACAAGTTAAATTTAAATAGTAACAAAAAATGGTATAACTTATTATATAAGCTCCTTTAGATTAAAATTTGGAAATGTTAATACCAATAAAAATTGTATAGAAATAGTAGTTCAATTAATGATTCAACCTATCTTAAGCCAAAAATTGTTATTTTAAATAAAACAAAACTCAATGTACTAACTCTAAATCCTTAATTAATTTCCCATATTCAATGAAATTCTACATGACGTTAACTAGAAACTTATTCAAAGCATCAAAATTGTACAACAATAAATAACAACAAATATATTTAATTCCAAATTCATTTCAATCAAATTATAAATGAAAGAAAACTATATATGAAGAAAAAAGTATCATAAAATTACATCACATTCCATAGATAAATTAAAGAGATAAGTTAGAGTTAAATACCGCAAAATAAAATTGAATACCGTAAAACCTTGATCGAAGCTCGATTAGAACGCCTACAAATCTTTTGTAGGTTGTTTGTGATGGTATACGTGTGATGTTTAGATAAAGTAGTAATGAAAAAGGAAGAAAAGATGTGAATGTGTTGGTGAATTTTTAAAAGGAAAATAAAATAAAATGTGAAAGTTTTTTCTTCTTTTGGTTCCTCTTTTTTTCTTCTGTATGTGTGGGGGTCTTGTTTTGGTTGCTGAATTTTTTTTCCTTTTTGCTGTGTATATTGGTTGTGTAGTGCGTGTGTCCTTTTGTTTTTGGAGTAGTGTAGGTATATATGTAGTGTGCAGATGGATGAATCTATAGTGATGTGTGTGTCGTGTGAGTATGTGTTGTGTGTGTGTAGTTGTAGGTGCAGATTAGGGGGAAGTGGAGGAGTAAGTGGGGTAGTGTGGTGAAGAGTGGGGTCATGGATATGGGTAATTTAAGTATTTTTTTTTATAAATTAAATATATATAAAAATTATAATAATGATAATAATAAAAAAAATAAAAGTATTAACTAATTATTTTGAACTAATAAAATATAAGAAAAGTCAAATAGCTAGTCTAAAAATATAATTAAGAAATACTAGCTGGTTTGTAAAAAATTTAAATTAAAAGAAAATATATATTTTTTGTAGTTTTCCAATCTTTTAAAATAAACTTACTAAAATACGATGAAACATAAAGTATTTAATCTAAATTTTAAAAAATATTTAAACATTAAAAATGGTGTAAAACCTTTAGTTCGGTCAAAAATTACGTGTCTATAGTTTGCCTCTCTTTGATTGGAAACACGAAGAATTTTTAGACAAAGAAGTAGACAAAGCGACAAATTTTGACCGGACTCTTATTTTAAAAAAAATATGCGACCGAGTCTTGGTGTTAGACATCCTACCTATCCTGGGTTATAAGAGAATCAGGTCACGTGTAGTTCAAGGAGATGAGGTGATGAGTTGGAAGTTAAGTGAGGTTCCATCGAGGCTTCCGGTCGCGGCTCTTATCCTTAATTACATAAAAAATAAAATGAAAACTAATAGTCTAAAGGAAAATAAAAGTATAAACTCCAATCTATGCAGCTTCTCTTGAGTCTTGTTTGAGATATCACCTTGATTTTTGGTGAGTATCTTGATCTTGAATGAAATTCGAGGATTAACTTGCCACTTAGAGTGAGTTTTTGGCACTATTCAAAATGACAATTTGAATATGTTCTTGAATGACTGCATGTTTTCTTGATCAGAAGCTGAATAGAAATAGATATCAGGAAGTTAGGCTACTACATGCATTGAAGAAGCTGATTTTGGCTATCATGGGATTGATCATTCTGAAAAGAGTTGAAACTTTGTTCCTGAATTTCAAATTCATGTTTCGCTTGAAGAAACCTGTAAACCATCACAAACAAAAAAAATACACAAAAAAAATTGCCCCAGTTTTTACTGGAAAAATTTAGTGAGTTATTAGCAGATGTAAATTTTCAAAAATAAACTCAGACTAGGAAGTGTTTATCATAGGAGAAAATAAAAATAAAGGTCTCAAACTAGGAAGTGTTTATTCTAGGGGAAAATAAAATATAAACGTCTCAGACTAGAAAGTGTTTATCTTAGGAGAAGATAAAAAAAAATAAAGGTCTCAAACTAGGAAGTGTTTATCCTAGGAGAAAATAACTATATCTCATTATGTAGAAGGATCCTGCTAATCCCATTATGTAGGAAAGTCCTGCTAATCTAAATCCTATTAGGTAGGAGGGTCCTGCTAAACTAAATCTCATTATATAGGAGGGTCCTGCTAATCTCATTATGTAGGAGTAGAGCCGTCAAAATGGGCTTGGCCCGCGAGGCCGGCCCAACCCAACCCTTGAATTAAGTGAGGTTGGGCTTAATTTTTTTGGCCCATTTAGGAACGAGGCTTTTTAGCCCAGCCTCGTTTGGCCCGTAGCCTCGTAGGGCCAACCCGCAAGCCTCAGAGGCCAGCCCGTGGGCTATTAATTTTTTAAAAATATTTTTTATATATATTTTTAGGTGTTTTATTTGTAAAGATTTTATCAATAAATATTTTTAAAATATCAATATAAAATTAAGACTATATTTTTTACATATCTTTTACATTTTAGGGTTATTAGCCCACTAAATTTTCTTATTA